AGGGCTCGTTTTTCCTGCTATGAAGAAGGAGCACTACTTCTTCTGAGATGGGCAGAGGACACAAGGATGAGTCAGAACAAAGGAGGATGTTGAGAAGGAGGAGAGAGAGAGAGCCAGCATGAGATGTTTCCTATCAATTCACAATAGCATTTCTTCAGTGATGCGTAAACCTGTGAGGAAAGGCATAAGGAAAGAAAGTCATGTCCTGCCATGAAAAGGTGGGAGGAACTGACATCATCCACAAAAGTGTGTAGATGGAAAAGGGGGTAAGGAGGTTACCCTGAGAACACTTCCTGTTTGCATCTTGAGTGATCCTGGATGAGTATGGTACTGAATCCCCCAGGGTGCCTCACGACAGAAGCAGGTTTATTTACCAGCAATGTTCACTGGTGAAACACTCCCTCTGAAGAAGAGTGCTACTGCCTTCCTGAGTCCACTGAGGAGAAGTCATTATCATTTTGAGACAGTTCAACCTCAAACGTTTTGCAAAAAGAAAAGGTGACTTAGAAAGACATTTGCAAGACTGTGGGCCATTAAATAGTAATGATCACATTGGGTCATCTGTGAAAAACACTTAGCTCAGTGCTTGGTGTCTGTCAACAAATATTAACAGTTGTTATTTAGAAGAACCCAGATGAGATGACAGAAATGCCTGTCATCTCATGACATTGATTCCTTCTAAACAGCCAAGGTGTCCTATCAAAATCCCCTAAATGCCCACAATTCAGAAGTCATTTCTCTCCATCATTCCTGTCGCTAGCCTTTGTGGTTCACATCTCTTCCTTTCCTGGAAATGTGTCCACAACATTTGCCCCAGTAAATTAAATAAATCTGAGTCAGTTTTCAGATATTAAAAAAAAAAATCTGGCAGAGGCCATGTTGTGTAACCATAACTTGCAAAGCGATAGTGAAAAGAACAAGCCAGTTACAGGAGGCGATGTGAAGAGAACCCAGAACAGAAAACCAGATGTTCACAGTAGAGTTATTTCTAGAAAAATTGAAGAGGAAAAAAGGCACCTCTGAAACCTCATTCTGTTATATAAGTGACAGTCTCCACTATAAAAAGGCAACTTCAAAATTATTTTAAATAACTTTTCAAGGAGAAAAAATTGAAGAAATGTTCATTAGTATTAATAAATATAATCATCCTCAAACCCAGCCTTTCCAAAGGCAAATCTGCACAGCTTTAGGGACTGTGAACTTCTTTGTTTGATCCTTTTAATTATACAGATATTTATTAGCAGGCATTGTTAGTACCTCAACATACTCCAAGTCTGTTGGTATCTACAGTTCAAATAAACATCTGATGAACAGCATTCAGGGACAGTTACTTGAGATCCGTGAGAGAAGCATTGGTTTTCATCCATGAGAATACCCATGAAGCCCATAAAGATTGCTGAGGAATAACCACATAAATATTGTGAAATTCTCTCTTCAATCTTTACGAAAGCAAAGTAAAGGAGTGGTCAGAACAACTCCCTGCTTCTCAGAATTCCTCAGAACCTGAGTCGTTGTCTCTGTTTCACTGGTGATTAGGAGCCAGAGTGTTTTGTAAGCTGGACAAGGCGTGGCAGCCACAGGTCCTAAGCAGTAATCACAAAGGTATCTTTAAGGGCCAACTAGGAGAAACCAGCACCATATCTGTGTTTAGTTTGTGTCCTGGCTTATTATGCCATCATAAGAAGAAAACTTTGAACTGGATAAACCTCTCAGGAATGTTGAAACCACTTTCATAATCGAGTTATGGTGAAATCAGTGTCAGAATCTAAAAATCAACTTTGCCTATTAAAATGTGGGGAATTTCAATTACGCAAACGAGAGCTTAGATACCCAAGGGAGGCTACATGGCGAATTTGCTCCAGATTCAAGTGAAATCAATCAAGAAGTTACTTCTTAGTAACTGCAACACATTGCATAATGCATTTAACTCATTTTGGTAGTTTGATTATAGGATTGTATACGAAAAATCAGGACATGCTAAACCCTACCTGAAAAAAAATAGAGCCAAAAGTTAACAATAGCTTAATTGAGAACTGCTTTCCATCTTAGATATTCCACTTTTTATTTCTATAGACACGGGGGGGAAAAAAAGCCTGTGAGATGCCTAGTCGTTTAATAAATTCCCCTCTAGCAAAGGCTAAATTGATATTTTTGAATAGATTAAATTGTGTTGGTCCCAGTGGAAGATCTTTGGACACTACTTGATTCTTAAGTGTGCCCAAGTTTTAAGCAGGTGGAAGACAACACAGTGTAGAACATATAGACTCTGATTAAGGGCACACAGCGTTAGCTTCCAAATGCATATTATATTCTATCTTAAGGTGGCTTTTATCGTTTAGTAAAACAACAACAACAAAAAAAATGGAGCTCATTAAAACTAAAACCAGAGCTAAAATCATTGTTGCTTGGAAACAAGAGAAAAGTGGATTCATTATGTATATACAAAAACCTAAGCAGAAACATAATTTAATGTGGGCTGTTAAATTTGAGGAGTACTAATTTGGGAAGTAGCAATGACTCTGGACACCAGTGAATGAATTTAGAAGGCTTTTGGCTTTGTTTTTGTTTGTATATAAAAATAATTTCCACTTTGCGCCTCAGCAAACTGAAGCAAAAATTGGTGAATCAAATTCTAGACATCAAGTTCAGAAAACAAGATGAGTTGAGTCAATACAGTATATGCAGTATGTACGTAGATCCCTGGTTGGAGACACAATATAAATGTCTATTCCAATTACAGGTCAGTGCCTATTAAAATAGCCACCAGGGCTATAGAGTGTGTTCTTTATGTTGAAATTTTGTTCTGATTAATTAATTGTCATTTGCTGAAGCTGGAGATTTGGGTCTGATTCTCTTTGGGACATGTCATATTCAGAGACCCCAGGATGTGTCTCATACCCTCAAATGGCAACTTCAAGCTCTTTTTAAATCCCATCAATTTTTGCCATTGTTGGTTTGTTTTAATAGGTAATTGGGGACCTCAGATGCCTAGAGGATGCTGTTAGAGCGTGCAGGTTTTTTATTAAATCAGGATTTTCAACAGAAATTCTCAGAGATTCAGTATCCAAGCAAAAAGTAGTAGCTTATGGCCAATAAATGAACTTCTCTATGATGGTAACAATGAGCTTTCTAGTGAAACATTTTTAACTTAAAATTGTATTACTTAGCTTGGCACTCAGTTTATTTAATAACTCCAAATGAATTTCAAAAATTTGCTACACTCAAATATTAAAAACTGGACAGTCCTTCAAAAGAAAATTTTAAGAAAATTCAAAAAAGATTCTAATGACAATATTGTTGGTATGAATCTAGTTCTTTCAAGGGGACTTCTTCAGATGAAGACAAAATGGTTAAGCAGTTGCATAGATGTAATTCTCTTTGTCAAAACAATCTTTTTTGGGGGGTAATAGATAAAACAATCTTAATTCATTATAAGTATATGTTATGAAATAATCAATATTGTGATAACATGATAAACCTCTGAAAATAATGCCTTCCTCCAAATGGGGTGCACTAAATTTTAGTTTTAGAGTCTACATTGATGGCGTTTTTATACTGTGAATAGTGTCCAAGGGTTCTTTCTTTACAGTGAAAAAAGCAAAAGGAAATGGATTTGCATAGCAGTCGGAGGGACTTCAGCCAGATAGAAAGAAAAATTTCCTGGTCTCCAGGGCAGTACAGACAACAGTGGGTCACTGCGTGGGGCGGGGGGGTAATGTGAGGTGAGGTGAAGTCTCCAGCTCTGTGAGTCTGTGGGAACAAAGCAGATTCTTATCTGAAATTCTCTAGACGCAAACCCGTCTGATCCATGGGCAGGGTACCTCCAGGCTTGTAATGCCATTCTGCCCTGCATCGATGAGACATTCCAAAGAAACATCAAGCACATACCCATAGACCCATGGCATAAACCAGGAACAACCTCGCAGCATTTCTCAAGTGGTGCCCTGTGACGTCTGGGGAGGGTGACTTGTGAGGGTGCAGGTCCACTGGTGCTTTCAAGGTAGTGTCACATCCCCGCAAGTCCCTGACCCTGGCTGGGACTCATTACCTCATCACTAGATCAGAGGAAAAATGATGTGTTTCTTAGAGTAATAAGACAAATGAAATGCATATGTGAGTGCTACCCACACAGGGCCCAACAAGTGGAAGAACTCATTAACTTCTGTACGCTCCCTTTCAAATGTTAGCATCTGAAGAGATGCAATTGTTTATTAAAAATAGAATTGTTTAGGAGCCCAAGTTTATGAAAGACTTGAAAGACTCAGTTTTAAGTTGTTGTTCCATAGCCATTAATTTGTGAAACCAAAAGTCTTTGTTTATAGGGAGCACGACATCACCCTAATACTTAGTCATGGTTGTGTTTTGTTTTGTTTTGGAAAAACACATTAGAATTTTTTCTCCCTTACTATTACCTAATAACTTCTTATTTTCCCTTACAATGATGGGGAAAGGATGTTCTTGTTCTCCTGAAAAGTGAAAGAATAGGGAAAAATTTATGTGACAAAGAAGACTGCATATACGTCATCTATCACTGAATGGTCATATAAATGTTAGTATGTCTGTATGTACCATTTAGTGTGTTCATGTTAGAAATGTAGAGATCAAGCCAGGCTCGGTGGCTCAGCCTGTAATCCCGCGCCTTTGGGAGGCTGAGGTGAGTGGATTGCCTGAGCCCGCGGGTTCGAGACCCGCCTGGGCAGCAGACCTCATCTCTACAATAAATCAAAAAATCAGCCGGGCATGGTAGCGCATGCCTGTAATTCCCGCTCCTTGGAAGGCTGAGGCGGAAGGATCGCCGGAGCCCAGCGGGTAGAGGCTACGGTGACCGGGAGCGGCCACTGCACTCCAATCTGGGCAACAGAGTGAGACTCCAACTCCAACTCCAAAAAAAAAAAAAGAAATGTAGAGATCATTTAATAATCATCTTGTCTTAGTCTCAGAAAATATTGACCAAAATTGACTTTTTCCATAATAAAATATCTTTGGTGTGATTTTTGCAGAGATGTGACCCTGGCTTCTTTCGTGCCCGATCAGGAGAATGCCATCCCTGTGACTGCAATGGCAACTCTCATGAGTGCTTAGATGGCTCTGGACTCTGTGTGGTGAGTCGGGGGGCACCCCTCTCTCTTCACTTACCCCGTGGGCTTCTGTATCTCATGTGAAGATAAGTATTCTTCCTTCTTCCTGGATGTTTGAGCTATGCAGGAGCAAACCGCTAATTGCACTCTTTTTTTTTTTAATCCTTCAACTTCTCTTGCAAAACACATGGTATAAAACACTTCAGATCTGAAATGGCCACCAAGGTATAGGTACCAGTGTTCTCAGGATCCAGAGGGCCCTGCCTGGCCACCCTGGCCAGCTGGCTTCATGCTGGAGGCCACTGGCGATAGGACTGAAAATGATACACAGCGGAGGAGACCGTCTGTCCAAATTCCCCTGTGATAGTGTCGTTTGCCCTATGTTTGGCATCATTCCACATAAGAGAATAAAACAAGCATTGCACAACGTATGTTAGAACTTAAGATAATCAGGTCTATAGCGCCATAAGAATTTTAACACAGTTTAAGTTTGAACCAAGTAACTGATGAAGATGAAAGCTTTGGCCTTGTGGTCTTTGTCAGTCTGTGTTCAAGCCCCCAGGAGACTTGTTTTCCTTAACTGAAATGAATTCTCCAATAAACTGTTCTTCAGTGAAGCATGGTAGACACTCATGCAGGAGATTGAGACGCCTTCTAGCAGAAAAGTACTTGCTACGTGTTTCCCACTTTCAATGAATGGAATGACAACTTAGTGAAAATGTATATTGAAATATTTACCAGAAGTGGCTTCAGTTGAAGTCTTAAAGGGCATTTTAAGGATGTATGCTCTAATAGCACGTTTTCCCTCATGAGCTACAAGATACAGCAGAAAAAATTCAGTTCTTCACGTTTCTATCTGGCAAAAGAGGTTTTGCAAAATTGCAAGAGTATTTTTGCATATATTATAAGAATATTTATTTAAATACACCCCAAATTAACACAATTGTCCCGATTAAACAGATAAGCTTAGTTCTGTATAGCATCTCAGATGTGAATAAAGGAGCTAGCTATTTTACTCACACATTATATTAAGATGTAAATTAGAATGTTTTCATTTATTTTAAACCTAGAAGTTTCCATTTTCCTAGGGACAGGCAGTGAAGTCACAAAGCACTAGACGTTGCTATCGCTTTGTAGTGTTTGTTTAGTCCTGATAGTTCTGTGTTCCCCTCCCCCATCTTCTTAAATAACCATCACAGCCAGGATGTCCTCTGTAGCCGTGTAGGCATATGCAGCTGCCAAAGTCTACCCCTTTCTAATGCTTCCATCTCCGGTTTCCTGTTGTTTTAATCCTGGTGACATTTGGGGGGGGGGGGGAAATCCCTTGGATACACTGAAACTAATAATGTACATCTCCGATAATTTGAAAAATTAAAGGCTGTTTGTTATCCAGTTTTTTTAAATGTAAGGCAGTAGAGACTATCAGGTCCATCAGCTGCTGTTAACTGAAATAAATCAAGAAGGAAAGTCCCTCCTGCTAGTGCCATCAAGAGCAATGACCAAGCTACTCTTCTGTGCAATGGCACTGTCAGCACAGGTCCATCATGTTTTTTTCTGTCTAAGGGTGACTTTTGAGAACAGGCATCATGTGATTCCTTCTCAGTTTCTGGGGCATCCAATGTTCTAACAAACATTGGAAATGGGCATTAGATTCTCACAAGGAGCACACAACCTAGATCCCTCACATGCGCAGTTCACGATAGGATTCAAGCTCTTATGAGAATCTAATGCCCCGCTGATCTGACAGCAGACAGCTCAGGCAGTAATGTGGGCCATGGGGAGCAACTGTAAATACAGATGAAGCTTCCCTCACCTGCTGTGTGGTCCGGTGCCTAGGTCCTTGGCTTAGGTGTTGGCAACCCTGATCTAAAGAACTAGTTCTTAAGGCCGGGCTCGGCGGCTCAGTCTGTAATCCCAGCACTTTGGGAGACCGAGGTGAGTGGATTGCCTGAGCAGGTTCAAGACCCACCCAGGCAACTTGGCAAGACCTCATCTCTACAATAAATCAAAAATTAGCTGGGCATGGTAGTTCTGGCTACTTGGAAGACTGAGGCGGAAAGATCACCAGAGTTCAGCAGGTCGAGGCTGCAGTGGCCGGGAGCGTGACACTGCACTCCAGTCTGGGTGACAGAGTGAGATTCCAACTCAAAAAATAAAGACAGAAGGAAAGAAAGAAACAAACAAACAAACAAACTAGTTCTTGGTCATTATGAGAAAGCCAAGAGCCCAATGACCAGAACTAGAATGGGGCAGACCTGGACTGATGTTTGCCACTGGCACAGGGTTCTTCAAGTTCCTTGTGATTAAGACTTAATTCGTCTATTAATTTAGTTCATCTAAATGGACTTCTAGCTCACCCTAAGCACAATAGGAGAAAGGAAGTAATTCAATATATTCAAAGCTAATGGATTTTTAAATTAATCTCAAAACCTAATTTAAACCCTGTTCAGAAAAGAGGAAGTAGCCGGGCTCGGTGGCTCAGCCTGTAATCCCACGCCTTTGGGAGGCTGAGGTGAGTGGATTGCCTGAGCCCACGGGTTCGAGACCCGCCTGGGCAGCGAGACCTCATCTCTACAATAAATCAAAAAATCAACCAGGCATGGTAGCGCATGCCTGTAATTCCAGCTACTTGGAAGGCTGAGGTGGAAGGATCGCCGGAGCCCAGAGGCTCGAGGCTGCAGTGGCCGGGAGCGGCCACTGCACTCCAATCTGGGTGACAGAGTGAGACTCCAACTCAAAAAAAAAAAAAGAAAAGCAGAAGTTAGGTTATCCCTCTTTGCAGATGAAAAAAAGAAAGGAAAAAAAAATTCCTACCAGGAAAGCAAAGATATTACACCTTTAATTTCTGCAGACACTGGCATTTTCCTCATGATGTTTGAACTCTACTATGTGTAAGACAGAGATCACCCGTGTAAGTCCCTGTAAGCCTAAGCCCGTGTGATCAATAAGCCAGCACACTCATAGTTGTTCAAGGGCAAGAAGAAATTGATTACAGAGACTTCTTGAGCCTGTACTACTTGCAACTGCAAAATTGGATCAAGTTCATGCATAAAATTAGATCAAGTACATAATCCTTACTTTAACATTTTGACAAATTTTCTATCTATTGCAAACTCAGAACAACCTAAATTTTTGCAAATAGTAATCTGCTTGGTCCCATGATAACTGAAATTCTGAAACAAAGTCAGAAACATTCACATCTACAGAATTCTAAGGCTGGATTGCTCAGTGGAGTCCCCTGTTTCGGGGTGCCCATCAACGTAGGACAGGAACTGAATGCAGACAGTGCATTCTCTGTACATACTTCCATTCCCGGGCTTGTTCCTCCTCTTGTGCCAAGTGAATGCGAGCATCACTCTGTCAGCTCCCATGCGTAGATGCCCAGCTGCCTCACCTACTTCCTTTTCTTCTACCCAACAGTCAATCTGATATCAAATCCTACCAACTCAAACCAGGAAGAGCCTGCTCTTCCACACCCTTCTATAGCCCTAATTCACAACCACAGCATCCTCCTGGTCACTGATGCAGCTTCCCAACTATTTATCTCTCCCACCTCCAGACTCTTCTTACTTTGATTGGTTGCCCACATCTCAATCAAGCCGTCTTCAGTCTAATCAAGGCATCCCTCTTTCAAAACTCCTTCAGGAGTATCTACTCCAGCCACAGCAAGCACACTGTCACCTGCATGTGCCCTGTGCTTTCACAGAGCTAAAAGCTTCCTTTCCTTCAACTTTGTCCCATCACAAACATGTGCTTTCTGCCTGACTCAGTCATAGCCCCTTGACCCTCTGTTATTCTGTGTTTACCTCTCTGTTTCCTTCACAAGTCTGTGAGTTACTCAAAGGTGGGAGCCAGGTCTTCTTCATTTTAATAACAGTCAAAGCTCATTGTCTATCATAATATTAGCTTACCCAGGTTTGCCAAATGAATGAATGCATTGAGTACTAAAGTAACAATCTAACCTAAATGCAAAAAACTTTACTTTTATCATTTATGAGATACCCAGGTCACTCCTTCAATGCAGTAAAATGTCCTCCTTCTCACTCATAAGCGGACCTTGAATAAGTATCATAATACTATAAGAAAGGGATCAGCAATAGTGAGAAACTGCCAGGGGAGGGAGGGGTACACCTCACCAACAAGGGTACCTGCATAATCAACATTTGAATACCTAACCCTGAACTGTACCCCACATCTTTAAAAGAAAAAGAAAAAAAAAAAAAAAAAGATATCCTGTCCTGTGCTAGAAACTCAGGCTCTGGCCCAACCCTGAGTAACGTGGAAGCAGTACTGTCAAAACTGGGTATTAATCTAGACCCCCACTTCTCAGGAGTCTAGACCAGAAGCACTGAAAACATTTGGGAGCTTATTAGAAATGCAGACCCCAGATCCTGCCCTAGGCATCCTGAATCAGAATCTACATTTTCACCAGCTCTCCAGGAGATTTGTGTGCTGAAATTTAAGTATTGATCTAAACAGACAATGGTTCTCAAACTTCATGATTCCATAAGCCCTTCTCACTCTAAAGAATCATGGAAGTTACGGCAACCGCCTTGGAACCCTTCCACTGTGGGAGCTTTTCTGTCTTCTCAATAGATCCTGCTTTCTCAAAAAAAAAAAAAAAAATTATGGAAGATTCCAAAGAGCTTTTGTTTATGCAGATTATATCTAGTGATATCTATCACATTTAAAATTTAAACTGAAATTTAAACTGAAAAGATTTTATAATACTTATTAATTCACTTGAAAATAGCAATAATATACTTGTCACATACCCAAGTAATATGTTTTATAAAGCATAAACATATTTTATAAATAAAAAATGTGGTTAATGTCTGGCTTAGTAGAAGGCAACTGCAGTCTATCTACTTCTGTATCAATCTGTGGTGATATCCTGTGTCATGTAGCCTCTAGAAAAGTTTATACGCATGAGAAAATGTGACTGCAAAAGATAAGACATATCTTAATATGATTTTGAAAATGGTTTTGGCCTCCCCGGGCACACTTCAAGATCCATGGATCTAGTCTTTCGTAAAGCATGCAGAAGGAACACACGAAGGCTAGCTTGATCCTTCTGGGCCTTCTTCCTAAATTATGCTGGTGCTGTGACCAGGTAGGTGAGAGATGTCATTTCTCACGTGTAGGAGACACAGCTGGTGTTCAAATGTCATTTCTGACACTCATCTGCAATCGATTGTCTAGATGTAGCTATCTTAACCACTGGCTAAAGCTTCAGGATGCTTATTCCATTTTTAAGTGGGGTCAGTTTTATTAAAAAATAAACTCCATCTTCCTCCCCCCAAAACATACTTATTTATTATTGGCATTTATTTTCTGCTTTTTAAAATAACAAAACATTGAAGATAAAGAGACATTTCACAGTCTTAGTAAAAGGTTTTTATGAGCTAGAGGAAACCTGACAGGCCATCTAGTCTGTATCTCCATTTTACAGATAAGGGAATAGGAAGGTCTTAAAGTTGGCCAGCCAGAAAATAGGAGAGTTAAGGACTTTTTCTCCCTGCTTCCAGCATTTCCTTTGGTATCTCCCATAAAGTACATCGATGCCTTTTAGGGACGCAGATGGCTGGGCATGGTGGCTCACACCTATAATCCCAGCACATTGGGAGGCCAAGGTGAGAGGATTGACTGAGCCCAGGAGTTCAACACCAGTCTGCGCAACTTGGCAAGACCTCATCTCGACAAGAAATCCAAAAAATTAGCTGGGTGTGGTAGCACCCATCTGTAGTTCTAGCTACTTGGAAAGCTTAGGCAGAAGGATGGCCTGAGCCAGGAAGTCAAGGCAATAGTAGCTGTGTTCGTGCCACTGCACTCCACTCCAGCCTAGGCGACAGAGTGAGACTTCGATTCAAGAAGAAGAAGAAGAGGAAGAGGAAGAGGAAGAGGAAGAGGAGAGGAAGAAGAAGAAGAAGAAGAAGAAGAAGAAGAAGAAGAATTAAGCAGATGATGAAAGCTAATATTTGCACTCTGAGCATTTGGAGTGGGGGATGACTTGGCAGCTTCACCCTTGAGGGTCATTGCTCCCATGGCTTCCATGGCAGAATTGAAACCTGACAAGGAATCTAAGGGATCCATCAAGTCATCAGGGGACAGAACTGGGAATCACCTCATTTTTGCAGCCTAATAGTCACTTCAGGCACAAAGAATGGCCGATGTCTTACAATGGGTCTGTTCTCCTCTGCACAGATGGGTTTTGTCTGTCCAAAAAGGATTCAGACGAATTTGACCCCAGCCTATGAGCAGCCCTGCTAGATTGCTTACAGTTTAGGCTCATGGTAGTTGGTTTTCCTTGGCATGAGAGATTGTCACCAATTTTTAGCTAGCTTTGGATGCATGTTAACTTCCTTTATCTGCTCCAGACACGAATTCATTAATTCACCTTTTCCCCTTTTCCTTCATTTGTTCCCCAACAAATGTTTCCTGAAGGCTGACAATACAAGACACAGTACTAAGAACTATGAGGGAATATGTTAAAATCCTGTTGTCTGCACATCATACTTATTTTTCAGTTTCTCATTGATCTGTTGGACAATCTAATCTAGTCCCTAAACTCTATTCTGCTAATATAATTTTAATCAGGGACCAAAGATTGTCCATACCTAGTGGTCAATCAAATGCCTGAAGGATGTTCAGCCAGTATAGTGAGCTACCCATATCAGAATTTTTCCCTTTTGACTAATGTATTGTACTTCGTTTGAAATTCAAAGTCTCAATAAAACGATCTGATAACTTCTAGTACAGTCATCTTATAACTGTTTAGAAAAGGAGGCTTTCTCTGAAACACTGGAGAAGCAGTATAATATGGAAATTAGCAGCGTCACTTCTAGACCCAGATTGCCTGGATTTGAATCTCCTTCTGGTTGCCTGCAGATCTGTGTGACTCTGGGCAATTTCCTTAAGCTCTCTGTGCCTCCAACTCTTCATACTTAAAATGGCAGGAAAATGGGAGCCTGTCTGAGGATTGTTGTGAGAATTAAGTTAATCCATGGAAAATGTTTAGAGCAGGACTTCACTATTATTTTATTCTGAACCTCAAACAGTGTAAAGACAAACAGAAGGAGCTCAGAGTTTAGCCTAGCTTTCTCCTGAGGGTCCTCCACAGAGCAACTATTTTTATTTTTTTATTTTTATTTTGTTTTTGAGTTGGAATCTCACTCTGTCACCGAGGCTGGAGTGCAGTGACATGCTCACAGCCATAGCAGCCTCAACCTGCTGGGCTCAGGTGATCCTCCTGCCTCAGCCTTCCAAGTAGCTGGAAGTACAGGCACGTGCCACCATGCCTGGTTTATTTTTTGATTTATTGTAGAGACGAGATCTCGCCAAGTTGCCCAGGCTGGTCTTGAAGCCCTGAGTTCAGGCAATCCAGTCTCCTCTGCCTCCCAAACTGCTGAGATTAGAAAAGTGAGCCACTGCACCCAGCTGCAGCTGTTTTTAAAAAGTTGTTTCACTGAAGCTCTGGTGCGTCGGTGTTACTAAGGCAATTGCTCAAATAGGAGAATGCCTTTCAATGGTATTCTAATTCCTGTAGTATAATTTTTCACTGAAAACTATATTCAACCCTTGTGCACTCTGTCGAGTGCAAGGTGAAAATACCATGGAGCTCACAGCTCAGCCTTTTGCCATTGAGTCCAATATAGAAGAAAGCTGTGTGTTAGCATCACTGCCCCTTATGGAAATTAATCTTATCAGCCAGCAGCTACTGAGCACCCACTCTGTTTGGGTTAACAGTGATACAATGCTGAAAGGCAGTGTTGGGGAGGGGATGCTAAGACTGGGAGCAGACCAAGACTGCAATGGGGGTGGCGGGAAGAGAGAGGAGTTCTAGAAGGGCGAGTCGGGAGGACTTTCCAGAGAGTGTGAGGCCTGGTACAGAGCATTATGATGCACAGGTGTTCCCTGTGTTGTGTGTTTCTTCCTGTAATCTGTGGATTATCTTTCCTGCAAGTAGAAAATAATAAATAAGCCTACTAGTTCTCGTGTGTCTCTATGCAAGACACCAACCCATCCACGGAATGCTCTTTATCTTCCTTCTTGGTTCTTGCTACAGCCTGACATAAGGTTTTGTTGTCCCCATTATCATGGGTAAGCACCAGGAAGATAGTGTGTGTTTCCTCATTTCATATTCATTTCAAGTCAGCAAGCTGATGCTTCTGGAACATCCGGGGTTTGATCATTCTGATTATCATTCTGAGCTGAAATGAGGAACTCATGAATAATCTCCTCTGCACACAAACTGAATAGAGCTCCAAGCTGCCACACAGAAAATCCAAGAGGAATCCATCCACTACTGTCCTAGCATTGGCTGGGGACAACATGGCTTGTCTGTGTCAACCAGTATGCTGCACACCATCTACGCTGTCAGACCCGATGTCACCTTTGCTTGAAGTATCGTTCGGTTCCTAGTGTGCTGTCTATACAATTTCCTTTGCATCCTTGTCAATTTGTATCTTTTGTCCCGTAGCACTGCCAGCGGAACACGACAGGAGAGCACTGTGACAAATGCCTGGATGGTTATATTGGCGACTCTATCAGGGGAGCCCCTCGGTTTTGCCAGCCATGTCCTTGTCCCCTGCCCCACTTGGCCAAGTAAGTGCTGAAGAAAAATGGGCTCTTCTAATGACCATTTTATATTTTTATTTGCTTGCTTGTTTGCCCTATCTAGTGTTCTGAGACTTAGTTTCTACAGTAAAAACTGAATACCTCAAGTTAAGCTAAGACTGGAAATCATGTAGAAAAGGTCTCTAATCTAAATATGCCGTCAGGGAAGCCTAAGAATCTGCAGGGTCAGATGATGACTCTGTTACCAAATCATGAAAATGTATTGTACGGTCAATGAAGCCTCCCAAGCTTTATAAGTTAGAGTAGTCTCACCTTTTCTTGATTACCCCTTGACCTAGAGAAATCACATCTGGTAATGTGAACAGACTCATGATATAGGAAGGTGACCCCCCTAAAAAAAAATACAGAATATATTTATGAAAATTGTGTATCCTTGCATGTTTAAACTTCAGGCACCTTCAAAGCACTCTTCATTTGAGGCAATACACCTTTTGAGATGCTTTTTCCACTGCTCAAAACAGTTTTTGAACTTGTCCATGTGGATACCTTTTAGTGTTTCTTCTGTTTTTTTGTTTCACCTCTTCCACATCAGCAAAGTGATTCCCTTTGAGGACTTTTTCCATCCAGGGGAAAAAAAAAAAAAAATTAATCAGGGCAAGATTGAATTAATAGGAAAGGTAGGGCACAAGGGTCATACCGTTTTGGTCAAAAACTACTGGACACTCAGGGCAGTGTGGGCAGGTGCACTCATAAAGCACACATCATGAAATAGGCAAACACACTGAAAGAGTCTCAAAAAAAATTAACTGAAGCTGAACACAGACTCTCACAACAACGTTAACTGATGTACTGATGCCAATGGGTTCCTAAAACACTCACCTAGTGGGGAGAAGCCTGTTATACAAGGGGCCCACCTTGTTTTGCACAATTATAAGTAGTTCTAGGTTTTTTTGGTCCCCGATAGTATTTTCAGTAGTATTGTTTCTTCTGACTCTCACAGAGTAGACATTTCCCTATGTGTGGTAGTCAAATGAACTTTTCAGTCAGATTAGAACACCGATAAAAGAATGCAAGCTTTAGGCCAATCAGCTAGCAAAGTTTTACAAGAGAACAAATTCTAAATTCTGCTTACGTTTTGACCTGAGTGAGAAGCTACAGAGAAGAGACACACATCTTAATGAAAATAATGGAATTCTTTTCAGGTATATAATATGTACAAATTCAATAATCATGTCATGACTGATCATTTCATTGACATAAAAATGACATCGTGATATATGGCGTTCTAAATATCAATCAGTTCTCCAATTCTCTGACACCATCAAGGCATCTTGCAATCAATTCACTTCTGACAGTGAGTTCCTGGAGTTCACATAGACTCCATAGTTTAAGGGGTCAGTTCCACAAGACTGCCACCACTTCTGATGCCAGTCACCCAACTACTCGGCTAGTCATACTTTTGCCCAGCTAACTACAAATTTTGGGGGGGGTTCCTTCAACCTCATTAAAAGAACTCAGAAAAGTGCTGTACTTATGAACATTGATTTATTATAAAGGATGCAACGCAGGAACAGCTGAATGGAAGAGAAACATCAAGCAGGATATAGAGACGAGTATGGGGAGGAGAGACCCTGTGCTCTCTGCTGGGGCACCCCCATCTCTGCTCACGGATGTGACACCAGTCAGAAGCTCCCAAACATCCTTGTTTGAGAAGTTCTGTTGAAGTATCATTCCATAGACATACTTGATGAAATCGTTGGCCATTGGTCATTGAACTCAGTCTCCAGCCTCTCTCCCCTCCTTTGCAGCTGGAGCAGAGATTGACATTCCAAAAGTCTCCTTACATGGTTGGCTCCTCTGTGGTGTCTCTGGCCACCAGCTCCCACTCTGAAACTATCTAGGGGCCCACCAAGAGTCACCTCATGAGCATAAACTCAAACATTGTTGAAAAGAGCTCATTGTGAACAACAGAAGGCAGTCTTTTCACTCAGGAAATTCCAAGAACCATAGAAGCACTGTGCTGGGGGCCAGACAGAAAGACTAAACACTGTGAATGCTTTTTATCATGCCACAAGTGGGAAATAGTAGGCCTGAGTTCACATTTCTGTCTTGGCATCATACATGTGTGATCTCCATAACAAGTCACTTTCTCCCCTGGGTCTCACTGTCCATGGGAAAACTAGGTTCACATCTCGGCTCCATTCCTTCATTCCTTCACCAGCTCTGGATCTCAGGACAGTAGTTCAAACTCAGGAGTAAGGACCTACATCCTAGGGTTGGGCAGTGCCCCAGGATGATATATGTGCAGCATCTGGGCTGGTGCCTTGCCAGTGGGAAGGTGTAAGACAGATACTGCCTCTGCTGAACATATAACATTGTGTTTTTTCTAATATTTACATTTTACTCTATGTCAGGCACTGCTCTAAGCGTTTGGATGGAATATTTATGTCATTGATAACTTTTGTAAGGAGTACATAATACACATAAAATGACTTTTTAAAAACCTGAATACTTACCACACACACACACAAACTCACACTCACACACTCACACACTTACTTGTAAGAGGAAATGAGAGGCAGAGTGTGACAACCAGATTGCCTCTTGGTGTTTTTTTTTCTTAATTGAACACTGATATCAACTAACATTTCACCTATTAGCTTGTGATATGTTCCAATCCTATAACAGGTCTGACCCAGACAAGCAGTCAGACATTTTACAGCCCCATCCTTCCCTAGAAACCACTCAACTGCCTCAGACTTTGCTCCATGATTTTTCATGTCTGGTGGTACTAATAACGTGTGCAAAATGAATGGTTCTAAGAGTGAGAGTAGAGAACGCAAGCATCCAGTGTTCTGTTATTTTCACTCAAATGTGTTCTGATGTATGAGTTTCCTTCGCCTCATCTTGGTTTATTCCTTAATGATCCATTAATATTCTGCTTTGAACATCAGTCTTCACCTCATCTGATGGGATGTTATCGTACCTCTCTCTTGCCACGGCACAGTTATTTTGTTAAATATATTTACCTCCAATCTCCTAATAACCGGTTGCACTCATTCTCCCATATACACACAGTATATAGCATCATCTGCTCAGAAAACAACTTTTTAAAAACCGGAATACCTGCCACACACACATACATACACCCACTCACACTCCTACACTTACTTGTAAGAGGAGATGAGAGACAGAATATGGCAGCCAGATTGCCTCTTAATTTTTTTTCCTTAATTGAACACCAATATCAACTAACATTTCACCAACTAACATTTCACCTACTAGCTTGTGATATGTTCCAATCCTATAACAGGCCTGGAAGCTTAGAGCTTCGAGCTGCAAACGGTTTTTGGTTTGGGGGTTTATTTTAGATGAATTAGGAAGGCCATCTCAGATGGTTCTTTCTCATTGTCTTGTTCACTTTTGCACATTTCACCCCATTCACATGACAAGACTTTATCTAAATTGTCTGACATTAATGTCTTGTGAGATGAGACTTTCAGAACATCATTTCCTATGGACTGAGAGGCCATCATGCTACCGTTTTTATTGAGCACTTACTATAGGTTGGTATAAAAACTGGACTTTTTTTGTATTTATTATGTGCCCGGCATGTACTAGTCACTGGTGACACAGAGGTGAATAAAACAGTCAAAAGTTTTGCCTTTATTAAAATAGGTCAAAATACAGTGATTTTTTTAAAAGCCTCTAGAGCAAATGATGCTTTATCATTTGAGCCAGATGATCCAGGAGGTTGGCTAAGCAAGATGGTGTTAATGCTTTTCAAGAAATGAAGCAGAAAGTTGCCAACTGGATGAGGGGGCTCCCGCCTGAAAGAGGACTCAGTTTCCCAAGGCTTGGGGACCACCATTTCTACCTGTGTTATCTCTTGTGCATGTAGGCGAGTGGGGCTGAGGTGGAATCCAGGATTCAAGAAAGCAGTGAAGGGACTTAGGAAATGTCTGCAGTTAGGTACATATACTGTAGGGCAGAAAACTGCTATAAATGCAAATGAAGCCACCCATGTGTCACCTCTAAGTAAACATGACACAGGAGTAGGGAGGAGCTGGTCAGGGTGTCAGGAATCCTCTCCTCTGTAGTGGCAATTGTTCTACTTCTTTAGTCCCTTGTGGGGAAGCTGGCTGCAAAAAGCGGGGGAGGGTAGTCTGTGGTTGTAGAACAGAACAAGTTTGCCCGTGTCTTATAAAGTTCCAACTTTTGATCTGACCTTATTCTTGACTTCATTAACTAAACTGAAATACTAGTCAAACACCCTATCAAAAACCGATTGTCTCATTGCTTCTTTCAGCCTCTTTTTTTAAAAAAATTCACATGACCACTTTCTATAAGAATAAAAAGGCCAGGACTTTTCAGAAAGGCAGAATCTGGATTACACTCTGAAAGAGCCACAGAGTTGAGCTCGTGGCCCCAAGATTCGGATTCCCAGTGAGAACAGCCACATCAGAAAGCAGGGAAATCATGCCTGAAGGAACCGAGCAGACAAAAGCCTGCATCTGTTTTTCTGCAAGTTCCCTGAGGACTCTAAGAGCAAAAGGCACCCTTCCACTTGAGGGGACGCCACGGCAGTTACAGTGGGCTGAGAGAGAAGCAGTGCTTCACTTCCCTTGCCAAAATCAGAGTTTCCCTTAAGGAAAACATAAACAGTTCATGCCTATGAAAAACAAAAATGGACCCTCCAGAGAGTCCACCCCAGCCACTGGAGAGCAGGGGCCCTGCAGTTGTTCTGGGGACTATTTGCATAGCGTTCATGTGTTTATTTTGGGGTTGGCTAGACATCCCCCACCTCTACCAGTAGCCATGGAAATGGCTCCAATTAAGGAAAATGTCATCTGTTTGCAACAGCAGGACATCAGCTCCAGGCAGACGACTCCAGACGCCCCCAGCAGCTGTTTCATCCTGCAGTCGTGGGCGGGCTGCTGGGTGGAACACCTTCAAAGAGATGCGCTGGTTGTGGTGTGCTGGACCTCCAGGCCAGCAATTCTTTAAGTGGGCTAAGAAATAAGAACAAGCAGCGTCAAGGGTAAAAGACCACAGAAATGGAGTGCTGTGGGAATGTTTTTACCAGGCTGTGAGAGAAAATAAATTGTGGGTATCGCCTTTCCCTGAGAAGCTCATGCCGTTTTCTGACGATTTTATGCATGTCTTCAAAGTAGGCACGTCCATTGGCTTTCCTCCGGAGACCACTGGAGTAAAACTGCTGATCCATGCAGGAAAAGGGATGCGACAGTCCCTAGCTTGCACAGAACCTGTGCCAAAACTAATTTAGGAGTTTGTACTACTATACACACACACATACACACACACACACACACACACACACACACACACGCACACACACAAGCAACACACCCCTATGCTCTGTACGGTTCATGTGTCGATGTAAAATTGTCCATACATGCAGAGATCCCAACCCCATTTCCCCTGCCGTAATCATTAGGTTAGGTATTTATTCTGCTGGACTTTCTATCCTGTGTCCAAGTTTTTACTAACTTGAAAAGAAAGGGAGGGGCCGGGCTTGGTGGCTCAGCCTGTAATCGCAGCACTTTGGGGGACTGAGGCGAGTGGATTACCTGAGCCCACGGGTTCAAGACCAATCCGGGCAACTTGATGAGACCTCATCTCTACAGTAAATTAAAAAAAAATTAAGGCCAGGCTCCGTGGCTCAGCCTGTAATCCCAGCACTTTGGGAGGCCGAAGTGATCGGATTGCCTGAGCCCACGGGTTTGAGACCAGTCCGGGCAACTTGGTGAGATCTCGTTTCTACAACAAATTTAAAAAATTAGCCAGGCATGGTAGCACACACCTGTAGTTCCAGCTACTTGAAAGGCTGGGGCAGAAGAATCGCTGGAGCCCGGCAGGTCGATGCTGGTGTGGCCATGAGCATGCCACTGCACTCCAGCCTGGGCAACAGAGTGAGACTCCAACACACACAAAAAAAAAAAGGAAGAGGAAGAAGAGAAAGGGAGTTTCACAGACAAAAATGCTTTCATAATAGGCCCTGTGTCTTTCTGGAGTACTTACTTTATGACTTTGATAAACTCAGCCAATCCCTGCACCCTTATTTCCAATCTTTTTTTTTTTTTATTGAGACATAGTCTCACTCTATTACCCAGGGTGGAGTGCAGTAGTGGCCTGATTGCAACCTACTGCAGCCTTGAACTCTTGGGCTCAAGCAATCCTCCCACTTCAGCCTCCCCAGTAGCTGGGACTACAGATATGCATCACCATTCCCGATTACTTTTTCTTTTCTGTTTTTACAAATGGAGTCTCATTATGTTGCTCAAGCTGGTCTCAAACTCCTGACCCCAAGTGATCCTGCCTCCCTGGCCTCTTAAGGTGCTAAGGTTACAGGCGTGAGCCACCATACCCAGCCTTTTATTTCCAATCTTTAAAATACACATGAAAGAAATTAAAGTTCTGTGGCAATTACAAAATTTAGTTCAGAATTGGTTCCTGTCCTTTAAAAGTCAAGCAGATTTAGTACCAAAAAAGGAGAAATTTTCTGATGTATATACAGAAAGTGAGGGAAATAAGAGAGAATTTTCATATAAATGTAAAATCAGGAGTAGAATTTGATTATTTTATTTCTGGCTTTGGAATATGTGTTCCAAACTTGTATATAAAGAGAGAGAGAGAGATCACCTAGGAAATGGTCCTACCAATGAAGTAACTTTTTCTGTCTGGGCCTACTGCTCTAAACTTTCCTGCAAGGTTTAAATAAAGCACATGATCACACCCATCAGAACATCAAGGGGATCAACATTGAGATGATCTAATAAGATAGTCTCTTCAGTGTTGTATGGAACTGACTTCTAACATGCACTTATAATTCTAGTTTTGCAGAATCCTGCTATAGAAAAAATGGAGCCGTTCGGTGTATTTGTAAAGAAAACTATGCTGGACCTAACTGTGAAAGGTAGGTCAATACAATTCTCTAATCTCTGTGTGAATCAGAGGAAACTTTCTGTTTCCAACATCGAGCAACTCTGACATGCTCCCACTCATAGGTCTTGAAGAGAATGATTAAAGCCCCCCTTGGGAAGCTCTCTCCAAACCCAATGCCCCAGATACAGATGTAACAATATACTCCCTGGGGGCCCAGGCCAGGGCCACATCTCAGGACACATGGACAGCAGCAAAAGAGGACATTAGAGATGTGTGTTTTGAAAAGGTTCTCCAGATGATTTCGGTAACACTTCTTTCTCGCTCCATCACTGAGAACCAGTACTACAATCAATGCTCCTGCCTTCCCAAAAAAGTGAGGCTTCTTCAGTACATTAAAAGTGAGTCCTCTATTGTCAATAGGGCAGTAAATTGGGGAAAACACACGTGTACACTTGCACACGTAGACACACACACACACACACACACACACACACACACACACACACACACCAATCTATTACTTAACCCATTCATGACACTATCTTCTGAAAAATAAACAAACACTATGAGTTTGGAGTTTCTGGATCCAGATGAATATTTACACATGACACTGTTTTCTTTTCAAAATTGCTCTGGGCTTTGCTCAAATAAGAGACCTTGGTTACCAAGAATGAGAGACCTCGCCACTGAATGATTTCCTGGTAAGATACTTCCCATTTGCCCCACCTGTCAACCTGTCAGCTGCTCAGTTTTTTGTTTGTTGTTGCTGTTGTTGTTTTTAAGTCGGAGTCTCACTCTGTTTCCCAAGCTGGGATGCAGTGGCACAATCACAGCTACTGCAGCCTGGACCTGCTGGTCTCAGGTGATCCTTCTGCCTCAGCAACTCAGTCTCCCAAGTTGCTGGTTTTACAGGCGTGCACCACCACACCTGACTATTTTTTTTTTTAATTGTGGTAACGAGGTCTTGCCAAGTTGCCCAAGCTAGTCTCGAATTCCTGGGCTCAGTCTATCCTCTCTCCTAGGCCTCCCAAAGTGTTGGGATTACAGGTTTGAGCCACCACGCCCTGCATGCTCACAGTTTTCTAAGATAAAATATCTTTTGCTGAAAGACTCACAGAGAGTCTTTTTATATTTAATAGAAATGCCATTAGCATTACCTCACCACAGGGTCTAGCATCTAAGTGATTTTAGTTACCTAACGTCTGAGTGAGAAGGGCCAGGAGGTGGTGCCCAAGCCTCCAGAGTCAGTCACCTGCAGGACTCACCTCAGCATGGCACTCATACAGCCCCAGAGGGCTCACTAACTTGGCCTGGGGCTTAAAATGCAAACTGTAGATTATAAACTATCTCACTTCCAAAGAAAACACACTCGGCCCCTCAAAGGGTAGTTCTGAAACTCAAAAATGCCAAAAGCATCTGTGGTACCAAAATATATCTGCACTCTGCACTCGGAAGGTGTTGTTATATGGTCATTAAATATGCAAAACATGGGTCATTCTTTCATTGAAGGGTGTGGATTTTTTTTCTTTTTGGCCATAGGGGGGCAAGTGACAGCTGGGGTCCATGTGAATTTCACCCCTTAGAAGGACTGGCAGAGATGATCAGATTATACTGGGCTGAATGATGATTGTGACACGCTTATTCTGTGTTTCTTTTTTTTTGAGTTGGAGTCTCACTCTGTCGCCCAGACTGGAGTGCAGTGGCCGCTCCCGGCCACCGCAGCCTCTACCTGCTGGGCTCCGGCGATCCTTCCGCCTCAGCCTTCCGAGTACCTGGAACTACAGGCGTGCACTACCACGTCCAGCTGATTTTTTTTTATTTATTGTAGTGATGAGGTCTCACTAAGATGCCCAGGCAGGCCTTGAACCTGCGGGCTCAGGCAATCCACTCGCCTCAGCCTCCCAAGGTGCGGGATTACAGGCTGAGCCACCGAGCCCGGCTTTTTCTGTGTTTCTTTACTTGGGGTCGGGACAATGAGGCCCTGACTTGCTCATTTTCTAGCTGGATGGAGGTCTGAGAAGACTTTTAATCCACCAGGGTGGACATTTTTTCCTCAGCATCTGAGGTTAAAGCTCAATTTGGTCTGATAAGAACCGTGGAGAATGCTAATGGCTGTTTGATGGCTCTCTCCAGGGGGAGTTAATGGCCTTCAATGGAGCCCTGTGGTCTAGATACAAAGTCTTACAAAAGGGAAGTGTCTGGGTCCTGAGGACACAGTCCTGCAAAGTCATACAGGGTGTGGGCCACATTGGCCCCCTCCCAACTAAGGACAGCAGGATGGAACTGCAGGTGATACACCCTTTATCCAGTGAGCCTCAAGGGTTCTGGCCATTCCTCCCCACCCCCAAGGTCGCCTCAGATCTGGGGCTGGAACAGTGGGATGCTGGTCCTGGAAGGCTCCAGGAGAGTGCCTTGGTTGGAGAAGTGAAAAGATCAGGCCTTCGCCTGGAGGAGCTTGTGTCTCAGCTCTGCCATTTTGCAATCTTTCCTGGGCAAGTCATCAGAACTCTCTGCCTATTTCCATCCTACAGAAGGGAGAAAATGGAGGTACACACCTCTTAGGGCTATCGTGAGGTCAGACTGTAGTTTTTCATGTGTTTTTTGTTTTTTTGAGATAGGGTCTTATTCTGTTGCCCAGGCTCACCATAGCCTTGACTTGCTGGGCTCAAGTGATCCTCCCACCTTAGACTCCCTGGTTGGTTGAGACTACAAGCTTGTGCCATCATGCCTGGCTGATTTTTTTAAAATTTGTTTTCAATAGAGAATAGGTCTCACTGTTGTTGCCCAGGTTGGTCTGGAACTCCTGGGCTTGAGCAATTCTTCCACCTTGGCCTCCCAAATTATTGGAATTATAGGCGTGAGCCACCATGCCCAGCCAACTGTAGAGTTTTTAATGTCGCACCTGGCACTGAATAAATGCTCAATAAGAATTAACTGGTGACGGTAGAAGTCATTTTGGTCATTGTGTGCCTGAGACGAGCTGGCTCATTTCCCTGAGTCTCGGTGTCCTTAGCTAGAAATTGCAGCTTTGAGCTAAATAGTGCCATTTATTGGTGATCTCTTATGTCCTTGTTGCTTTATACTCTTCATCTGTCACCCTCACAGCCACGCTGAGAAGGGGTAATATTTTGTTATCTGAAGATAAGGACACTAAGCTGGAAGGGCTGGGTCATTCAAAAGGAGGCATCTTTTATGGTGTTTGATTTATGTTTGACCTTGGGAATGAGAGGAGGGTTTCCGTTTTAACAGTCGAGTTCTTCTATTGTCTGAGTTAAGCTTCATCTAATCTATGTTTCCCATGTATTTGCAAATTTGGATCTCTAAACAAGAGCTTTGCAAGATACTTAACTGACTTGTATGGGTATCTATTTTAAACAAAAGTAAAATTTAGTCCAAAGTAGAGGGAGAAAACATGCTAGGATGGTATGATGACTTGTCACGAGGACCTTGTTGCTTCACGATCAGGAGAGAAGAACTGAAGCAAATTACAGCAATTTGAAGGTGACCTTAACCCCTAAACGGAAAGGCAGAACACAGTATCATCAGAGAGGATGATAATGGTAATAATAGTGATTACTCTAGGTCTTTCCGTACTATCCTTTAGTCAAGCAGTGGTTTTTACATCTGACTATGTTTAAGAGTCTTCTGGAGCCGGGCTCGGTGGCTCAGCCTGTAATCCCATGCCTTGGGAGGCTGAGGTGAGTGGATTGCCTGAGCCCGCGGGTTCAAGACCCGCCCGGGCAACCTGGCGAGACCTCATCTCTACAATACATCAAAAAATTATAACCAGGCGTGGTAGCATGCGCCTGTAGTTCTAGCTACTTGGAAGGCGGAGGCGGAAGGATCGCCGGAGCCCAGCAGGTCGAGGCTACAGTGGCCGGGAGCGGCCAGTGCACTCCAGTCTGGGTGACAGAGTGAGACTCCAACTCAAAAAAAAAAAAAAGAGAGAGTCTTCTGGAAACCTTTGGATCCCTGAGTCCTCCCCAAGCTCCCTTCCATCACCCACTGAGAAAGAATGTCCAGGGGTGAGGCCCAGACCAGCATCTTGACTTCCTGCTGGATTCTCACATTCCAGGGCTCTCTCTGCTTTGTGAACTGCCACTACACATCAACCTTCAACACCACAACAGCATAATAGGAACGTGTTTCTCTAACTGCAGCCTAAGAACACCAGGTGTCCTCAGAAATATTCATGAAGGTTCATGGGTTCTCAGTGAACTTTACCTTATAGTTATGTTTAATTCTAGTGATAACCTTGAGAAAAACATTGAAATGTGTTCTGGACTTGCTATAGTATTGCCTTATAACAAAGGGAGCAATCCCTAACTGCTGGGAGAAAATAACAGGGTGAGAGCATGTCAGTGACACATTACAGACAATGGGAGGCTAAGGGGTCTGACATCGGGACACACCTTAAAACTAAAGACTCAAGAAAGTCAATGAGAGAAGTAAGTCAGCCCATTTCACATGGCGGGACTTGCATGCTAAACTCAGTCCTCTGCCATGTCATGTCACAAGTGGCCATCCGGCTCCCTAAGACAGCAGTGTCTATTGTCGTGAATGATAGTATTAATTTGAATTGGATTCATTTTGTGATCTTGCTTATGTTTTATTTGGAAATTTGGTTTCTCAAGATGTGTAAAAGCCATGGACATGAAAGTAAGAGTTTCCACCTACCTTCATGTTTGGAATATTTTTTCCTTTTATTTCAATAGCTTTGGGGGTGCAAATAGTTTTGGTTACATGGCTGCACTGTATCGTGGCAAAAAAAGTCTGGGCTTTAAGTGCACCCCCACCTGTGCACACTGTACCTGATAGGTGATTTTTCGTCACTCCACCCCTGTCATCTCCCCCTTCTGAGTCTCCAGTGTCCATCATACCATTCTCTATGTCTTTGCAGACCCTTAGTTTAGCTCCTACTCCAAGTGAGAACATGGGGTGTTTGGTTTTCTGTTCCTGTGTTAGTTCACATAGGATAATGGCCTCCAATTCCATCCAAGTTGCTGCTGCAAAGACATCATTTCATTCTTT